GCTATGGAGCCCTGAATGCCACACATAGAGATTAGCAGCAAACACCTTGGGGGAGTGGGTGGTAAAGTGGCTGGAGTGATGATGAGCTCATCAGCAGCTGGTGATTCATGGCCTAAAAATACCTCACAGCTCCCAGGAGGGGTTTACAGATGTGATTCTGCTAAGGTTTGTTGAAATAAATTGATGGCTAAAACCAGGATGATAATCATACAGAAAACCCAAAGACAGTGTGGAGGCGGGTTGGTGATCCTCATCTCTGCATGGAGTCTTCCCAGCCTGGGCTAAGTCTTCGTTGTATCAACACCAAGGACAGGTCCCAGGCTGGTTTGGGGCTGGAGGGAAGAAGGAGGAGAGAGTGGGAATAGAAGAGTGAGTAGCCCTTTGGAGAGGAGGCTCAGTGAAAACTGTGTCACTTTTTCCACAACATATCACCTCCCCCTCAAGTTCCCTCCCCATCCCCTTCTCTTCCTTCTAGCTGGACGCATCCCAACTGTATTCCAAAGGAAGCTATTTCTGGTGGCAGAGAATGGTGGGATGGGGAGAGGCAGGAGGGAAGATGGAGGAGGGTAGGTGGAGAGAAGGGAAATTTGGGAGACAAAGAGACAAGATGAATAGGCCAGTAAACTGATCGATCAACAGGGACCTTCTTCACTTTGATCCCTGGTAGTATTTTCAGTAAAATCTGGAGTCATGGAAAGGTCATTTATATTTGAAAAGCGTATATGGATTCAAATCCCAACTTATTGCTTATTAGCTCTGTGACCTTGAGCACTTGCACCCCCACACTCTAGGTCAGGGTTCGCTGATATGAAGCCTAAAATCCATAGAATCGTAGAGCTGTAGCACTGGAGCTGGAAGGGGGCCCAGAAGTCACCTAGTCTAACACTCTCATTTCACAACTAAGGAAACTAAGAGATTAAATTACTCACGGCACACAGGCTGTGAATGGTAGAGCTGCGATTCGAGCTCTGGTCATATGCCCCTTAAGTTCAGTGGGGTTTTCTTACCCCACTGCACCATGTTTTTGTGATCTCACTGGCTCCCTGGGAGAGCAAGGCCATGGGACAGAAGTCCTGAGAGAGGGCTCAGGCCAAAGGAACACAGGACCATGTAATGTGATCTCATGTCCAGAGCTGGGAAAGCCATAATCCCTTTGTACCCTGACCTAGTCAGATCACACCTGGAGTATTGTGTCCAGTTCTGGGTAGAACCAGAGAGTGTCTAGAAGAAGATGACCAGAGGAAAGAAGTCTTGCTATATAAGGATCTATTGAAGGAACTAACATCATTTTACCCTGTAAAAGAAAAGGTGCCCCTGGTCAGGGGTTGGAGGAGAAGGAATGAGAAACATGATAGCTGCCTTCAAGTATCTGAAACATGATGATACGGAAGAGGGGTTGGACCCATCCTGACTGGCTTCAGAGCCAGAAGCAGGAAGTGAGGAAGAATGTCGGGAAAGGAAGAATTTTTGCTCAGTATGACATGGAGAATAAATTGTTAGACCTGAGGTCAAGAAGACCAGTGTTCAAGTTCTGTCTCAGATGCTAGATGTTTGACCTTGGGTGAGTTAATTAATTTCTCTTGGCTTCAGCATCCTCATCTGTAAAGTTAGAGGGTTGGACTATATGACCTCTGAGGTCCCTTCCAGTTCTAATTTTTATGATCTTATGAAAAATTCACAGGTTCACAAATTAAAACTGGAAGAAACTTTAGTTGGCCTCACATACTTACTATTTGTGTGATCTTATGACTTTTACAGATGAAGTCAAAGAAGTTTTGGTGACTTGCCCAAGGTCTCACAATTTCCTAACAATGAGCACTATCCCAATGTGGAACGGATTGCTTTGGGAGATATGGAGTTTTGCATTGTGAGGTAATCTTCAAGTTCACTTTAAATGACCACTTGTCAGAGATCTTGTAGAAGGGATTCCTACTTGAGTAGGGGTTGAACCAGATGCCCTCTGAAATCTTTTTCAGCTCTGAGATTCCATATTACCATGGGAATTTTGGAGCTGGGAAAGATCATAGAGATCAATTAATTCAGCTCCTTCAGTTTTCAGATGGGGAAATAGGTTCAGTGAAGTGACTTGTTCAAGGTCACACAGCAAATGAGGCAAAGAGCTGGGACTCAAATGTAGGTCCCGTGATTCCAAATCCGTAGAAGCCCAAGTCCCATGATTTCCAATATCCCATGGAAAGGACTTCTCTCTACCTTGGGCCTTACAATCCTCAGGGGGAGCCAGCCCTGCTGCAGGGGAAACACCAAGACTATTCTGGAAGTCAGAGCTCATTCTATCCCCCTTGACTGATCCTAGGACAAGAGCTTTGTTCCCCTAAGTAGGGAATTTCCCTTGGTGCAGTCAGACTTGTTTGCATTGACTCAGTCGGTCCTGATGGGCCTGACTCACTGATAGGGTGAATCGTCCTCTGATTTCCATCATCCTTCCCCTTCTCCCCCAGGACCAGGGAACTATAATCAACCTCCACACTATCCCTTAATAATAATAATGATAACTCAAATCTTTATAGCACTTTACCTATAACAGCCCTGTGAGGTAGGTAACATAAGAAATATACTCCAGAGGGCTACTAGGTTTGCAAAATGGATGGAGTATCAGACTTCGGGTCAGGAACACTTGATTCTGAATCCTGCCTTAGACACTTACTAGATGGGGGGACTTTGGACATGGGGTATGATAGTAAATGTTTAACAACCAGGTCTTAAAAGGAGGGGCATGGACACAAGACTCACTTTTGAATTTAACCTGAAAGAAAAAAGAGAAAACTTTAACCTGTATTATTAACATTTTCTCCATGACTTTCTTAGGTCTAAATAATCAATAAATCAAGCTCTGATTTGTAATGTTTGCCAATTTCCCAGGTATAAATGCTCGTACTGAAATGTTTTTAAAAATCCCTTCTCTTGAGGTGCTTTGAGTAGGCTGTCGCACAGTCCTGCCTGGGCAAGTCACTTTATCTCTCTCAGCTTCAATCTCCTCATCTGTCAAATGAGGACAATAATATTATTGACCTTGCAGGATCATTGTGAAAATAAAATAAGGGAATAGATGTAAAGTGTCCTGCAAAACCTAAAGCTTTCTATAAATGTTGACTATTATTATTAGACCCATTTTATATAGGAGGAAAATGGAGTTCAGAAATGTTAATTGACTTACCCAGGATCACACTGCTGGTATCAGAGCCAGGATGTGAACCCAGATCTCCTGACAAGTCAAGGGCTCATTCTCCACTCCACCTCTTCCCTTCTCTTGGGCCCTCAGAATAAATATCGAGCAGCCGAAGAAGGAAGTCAGTGGGGAAAGGACCCCAGGCAGTAAATGGGGCTGCCCACCTGGGACTTCTGTTTCATCAAGAATCATAAGTCATTAGAGTTGGAAGAGACTTTCTTCTTTTATCTACTCCTGCACCATACTTAATCTTTCCTCATTGGCCTCAAAGCTATAAAGGACAGTATCTGTTTGACTGGCCCAGGAAGAATCTCATCTTCCTTCCCCTGCATGAGCTGCTGCATTGGAGTTGGGTTCTTTCAAAAGTCCTTACTAGTATTTAAGGGAAGAGTACTGGATAAGTAAGGGCAGGTAGATGGTACAGCTTGGAATCAGGAAGACTCACCTTCATGAGTTTGAATCTGGCCTCCGACACTTACTAGCTGTGTGACCCTGGGCAATTCACTTCACCTTGTTTGCCTCAGTTTCCTCATCTGTAAAATGATCTGGAGAAGGAAATGGCAAACCACTCCAGTGTCTTTGCCAAGAAAAGCCCAATGGGGTCACGAAGACTCAGACACAACTGAAACAACCTGACAACAACACTGGGCTGAGAGTCAGGAGATCTGAATTCAAATCCTGGCTCTGTATCTACTATCTATGTGACTTTGGGCAAACGCTTTTTACTTCTTTGGGACTAAATTTCCTTCTCTGTCAAATATGTGTTTTGGACTAAATGACATAACTTCTGGAAACAGGAAGTTGATAATCCCCCAACAGACCTCACCTGGCATATTATATGGAGAGTTCTGGGCATCACAATTTTAAAATCACAGTAGACGTGAAAACAACGGATAATGATGGGCCTTGAGTTTATGCTCTATAGCCTAAAGAAGAGATTTGTGGGACCATGAGAACTACCTCCATGTAATAAAGAGCTATCATTTAAAGGAGGCACTAGTTTGTTCTGGTTTTCCTTAGAGGGCAGAACCAGGGGCAATGAGAGGAAGGTGCAAAGAAGCTAATTTAGGCTTGACATCAGAAAAACAAAACAAAACAAAACTTTGTAATAATTGGAGATACCTGAAAGTGGAATGGGCTATATCAGGAAGTGGTGGTTTTCCCTATCTTGGAGATCTTAGAGCCTGGAGGACCACTTTCTTGTTATATCAGAGCCAAGAGTTCTTTCATGGATGGTTGGCCCTTCCAGTTCTCAAATTATAATTCTATGACTGTTAAGGTCCCTTCCAGTTCTGTGATCTCTGCTTTGTGATTAGTAGACAGACTTTCTGATTATTAAAGACAGTCTGGAATCTTAGGATTCTCCAATTAGAAGCTCACAAAACCTTGGAGTGATAGGGAGAGACCTTAGAGGAACATGTTCCAACCCTTTACTCCGCATAGCAACTCCCTGAACCATCTCCTGGCAGCCTCTTGTCTGAATACTTCCTATGATAGAGAACCCATTACTAGTTATATTTGTTAGAAAATTATTCCTTATAAAGTAAAGGAATAAGTCTCCTTGTAGCTTTCCCCCATTAGTCCAAGTCCCATGTCTAAGCAAAACAAGTTTACGTCTCTTCCCTGTGACAGATGCTGGAAGTCAATAATCATGCCCTCCACCCTTCTCTTCTCAAGGCTAAACATTCCTTGTTTTCCTCATTCTCTAAGAGGCAGAGAGTAGAATTAGTCTTTCCCTACACCAAGTTTAAAAGATACAGTTTTAATTTAAATGAAAGCCGGAATTATTTACACATAGTTTAATAGACACATCTATTGATAAATATTTATTAAATGCTCAGCTCCACCCTGGACAGGGTAGGGTGGAGACAGAGGCAATGGACGCAGGTCTGGCCATCATGGAACTCTGATTTGGGGAGATGAGTCACCATCAGGAAATGATCAAAGAGCAAAATAAAACAGCTCGGAACCATGGTCAAAACTGACCAGAAGAGCTAGAAAAGCATGTCAAACCATAAACCTTGTTACCTGCTCTAAAGCAACAAAGCAGAAAAATATAAATAGAGTCAAGAGAGCTTTGAGAATTCAGGAGGGTCTAAAATAGGCCGTGGGAAAACAGTGTGGTGGAAGAAGAAGAGCCCCAGTTTTGGAGCCAGAGGGCTCAGGTTTGAATTCTAGCTCTGCTACCATCTGCTTAAGGAGGGAAAGAGTATTGGTTCTAGACTGAGAATATCTATCTGGGTTCAAACCACGCCACCATCACTTGGTATATGTGTGACCTTGGAGAAGTCCATTGATCTCTATGGAACCCAGTTCTATCTATACAAATGGCAGGGTTGACCTAGCTGGCCTTTGAGGTTCTAGAACTTTCCAGTTCTTGAGCTATGAACCTAAGAACTTTTCTTCTCTGGTCTTCAGTTTCCTCCTCTGTAAGATGAGAAGGATGGATTAGAACATAAATTTCTTGAGAGCAGGGCTTGCTTCATTTTTTGTCATTGTGTCCCTTTTGACTAGCGCTGTACCCAGAACATAGTAGGTGCTTACTAAAGGCTTGCGGATCAATTGGTTTGTTTTGAGGTCCATTCCTTTCTTTTCTGACTTTCATTTTGAGATGCCTTCCAGCTTGGGTGTTCCAGCTGGGTTCAAATCCTACGTGGGAAGAATTTGACAGCCTAGAAAGGGGGCTCTGTCTTCCTTCAGAAGGTCTGAGGGGGTGACCCAGGGGAGCATCCCTGAGATTCTCACAGCATTCTAAGGTACCCCCCCAATCCTCAACTCCTCACTTGTCTGAATGGTCCCAGACCCAATCCAGACTAGGGGACTAGGGAATGTGAGCAAGAGGAAACTCGGGCATGTATGGATTCTACCTGCCTCTTCTGATGGCTTCGGTGGAGCCTGGCAAACAGGTATCGGGCCCTCTGCTCCTCCCGAGCCTGGAAGAATGAGGCAGCCACTCTGTGGCCCAGCCGGCGGGCATAGGTCTCCAGGAAGACTGTGGCAGAAGCAAAGAGGAAGAGGGTCCCAGCGGCCAATGCAGCTGTGTATTGTGGGGGATGAGCTGAGTGTAACTGGCAACTGGCCGAGGTGAAGCGTAGCTCCCACTTATATGAGTCTTGGTATGTGTCCGAGGATCTCTCTTCAGAAGGCTGATTGAAGATGAAGGAGACGAAGGCAAGGACTGTGTACTTGGCCTAGAAGGGTAGGGGGAGACACCAAAGGTGAGGGTATAGTGTAGAAGCCATTTCTCCTAGGCATTCCTCAGGAGACCCTAACACTGATTGACTGTGACCTTGGCTAATTCATTTCTGTTCAGTTTCCTCCTCCTTAAAGTGAGGGGGAATTGGTTTAGGCAGGAGTGGGTAACCTGTGGCCTTCTAGGTCCTTGGGTATGGCCTTTTGACTGAGTCCAAGTTTTACAGAACAAATCCTTTTATTAAGAGGATTTGTTTTGTGAAATTTGGATTCAGTCACAGGGGCACAGTTGAGGACCCAGAGGGGCCACATGTGGCCTCGAGGCCAGGTTCCCCACCCCTGGTTTAGAGAATTCCTGTGGTCTTCCAAGCTGTAAAATTCCACATTTTATGTTCTAAAGTTCCTTCTGGCTCTGACGTTCTATGTTCTAAGGTTCTTTCCATCTCTGACATTCTGTGTGTTCTAAAGTCCCTTTCAGGTCTAATATTTTGTGTTGTAAGGTTCCTCCCAGCTCTGACATTCTACATCCTAAGGTTCCTCCCAGCTCTGACATTCTACATCCTAAGGTTCCTTCCAGCTCTGACATTCTACATCCTAAGGTTCCTCCCAGCTCTGACATTCTATATCCTAAGGTTCCTCCCAGCTCTGGCATCTGTATTCCAAAATATCTTCCAGAACTAAACCCATGGTCTGATTTCTTGAAGGAAGTTTGACACCTTCCTCCCTCGGTGGCCAACCCCATGATGAGGGAGCTCTTTGAGGTCCTTTGGTTGGCTGGTGGTCTAAACTTCAAGCCTTGTTCAGCGTAGTAAGAGTTTACATTCTGCCAGCCCAGCTTTTGGGAGCTCAAGGGTTACCTCCATTCTAGGATGACACATGGCCTCTACAAAATGGAAGTCATAGATTTGAGAGTTGGGAAAGACCCAGGTCTGCCTGATTCCAAGAACCAACTATCTATCCACTCCAGCATTCCATTTCTCTATTCTGTGTATGTACCACATTCTAAGACCTTGTCTAGGGGGTATCAGGTAGATAGAGCACTGGCCCTGGAGTCAGGAGGACCTGAGTTTAAATCTGGCCTCAGACCCTTATTAGCTGTGTGACACCCGGGCAAGTCACTTAATCCCAGTTGCCTAAAAAAAAAATCTAAGACCTTGTCTAGCTCTGATGTTCTATGTGCAAGTTTGTGTGCAGATTGAAGATGATCACTTTGAAGGCCTCCCCCAAGCACTGGGTCTTCCCCACCTCCCAAACCATATTAGGAACCCAAGGGCCTCCCAGCCCTCTGCCTCCAGCCCCCTTCCCTCCATTCCTCTTCCACTCACATCATACTTGATGCTCAGATGGATGGGCAGCGTAGGCAGCTTCTGGGCCCAGTCCACAGCCATGCGCGCCAGAAGGAAGGCCACATAATCTGCAGCCACAATCACAGCCATGGCCCCCAGGGGCATACCCAGAAATGCCAGGCGAAAGAGACAGTGGAAAATTTCAGCCCGGGAGAGCTTCAGGCCAGTCGTCCTGAGGACCAGAGCTGGAGGAGATGCTGCCAGGGGACTGTCCTGGTTCTCTCTGAGCAGCTGCTCCAGTTGTTTGCTGTGATAGAGGTTATCAAACTGCAGGTTGGTCAGATAGCCCTTCAGATACCACGTAGACTCAGACAGGAGGGAGAGTATGAAGATTCCAGCCAGCACCCGACTGGTGCCCAGAGCCAGTCCCCGGACCAGTGCCTCCAGGGCCGACACATCCTCATAGACTCTCTGGGTGGCCACAAGCATCTGGAGATACAGGGCAGAGCAGTTGCTAGTGGTCTCCAGAGTCAGTCCCCGCCCAGCTGCCTGGTCCAGTGCCACTGTGGCAGCCTCTAGCTGGTGGGTAGAGTTGAGCAGGCTCTCCAGAGAGCCCTGGGCCACACACCTTAGCACCTGGGTGGTAGCACCCACATTGGCCAGAATGTTGGGTACCACATGAGTGGCCAGCTCGGCAAAACCAGATGACAGAAGCAGGCGGCGCCCTTGCCTCGTGCCTAATGTGGGCACGGTGATGGCAAGCAGACACCGGGCTGGGTGGACTAGACCCAGGGCCAGGAAAAGCAAGAAGCCACAAGCCATGGCTCCTGTCACAGAGGTCCTTACTGAGTAGACCAGGGAGACAGTCAACCAGTTGTAGGCGAGCCCACCAGCAGCCCCAGAGATGAGAGCGCACAGCAGAAGCTGAATTAATAGTTGCCCGCAGCTGGCTGGGACAGGCTTTGAATATACCTCCCAGGCTGCCAGCAGCAGTGCCTGGGCCTTTGGAAGCCCCGAATGCCAAAGCCACCTCCTGTGTGGGGGAGACCAGGAGGAAACCTCTGTGAGCTCAGGAAGAGCCAAAAGATCATGAAATTTTAAGAGTAGGAGGAATCTTAGAGACCCCCACCCCCATTTTATAAACAGAGAAACTGAGGCCCAGAGAGATTGTGACCTAGCTGCTAGTACTTTCCCGCCACTCAGGGTTACCTTGTATCTATGTGTTTAGCTTGTATATACCTATATATACGCACAGTCCTTGGTAACAAGGACTGTCTTGCCTTTGCCTCTGTATCTGTCCCAGCACATAGTAGGTGCTTAATAAATGCTTGTTGATTGACCACAGGCACACAGGTAACAAAAAGAAGAGCTGGGATTTCCTAGGATGATAGCTCTCCAGCTTGAAGGTACCTCAGAGGCCATCAAGACTATCCCCTTAATTTGAAAGATGGGGAAACTGAGGCTCAGGAAGGTAACTAACTTGCCCAAGGTCATATGGATAGTAAAGGGGGACTGAAACCCAGATCCTCTGACTCCATAACCCATGCTTTTTCCATTCTACCAACAACAATCTTCAGACTCTAAATCAGAGGGTTTTGTTTTTCTCTGTTCCGTAACACTGTGCCTCAGTCTAGCATTCAAGGCCCTAGGAAACCTGACCTCAAACAGTCTTTCTAGATTTTCCCTACCTTTCCACATACCTGCACTTTGAGCCCTACTTGTTTACTGGCAAATCCTTGTCTGCCACCATGGAACCACCACGTCACGGAAAGGCCCAGCCTCAGTGTGTCAACATCACTTACACATTCCTCTTCTGTCAACTTCATCTCCACAATGACTGCCTTGCCCCCTTACCTGCTTCCCTTCCTGCATCCTCCCCACTTCTTCCAGCTCCACTTTATCTTTTATCTTCCCCTATTAGGCTCCTCGAAGGCAGGGCTGTACTGTTTTCTTGCTTTCGTGTGCCTGACATTAGCGCAGTGCCTGACACATAGTAAATGGTTAATAAATGCTCTATCTATCCATCCAATCATCTGTCTATCTATCTATCCATCTATCTATCCATGTCTATACATCCAATTTTCTATATAGCTATCCAGCTGTCCATCCAATTTTCTGTCTAGTTATCCATCCAGTCATCTCTTTCTTTTTTTTCTTTTACTTCCTTCCTTCCTTCTTCCCTTCTCTCTCTCTCTTTCTCTCTCTCTCTGTAAGGGCCAGATTATAGAAAACCTTGAATACCAGGCTGAAGTATTTGAGAAGCAGCATGGCACAGTAGAAAGGGCACTGATTTTGTAATCAGAAGACCTGGGTTCAAATATCAGTTGCTTACTACCTGTGTGACCTTGGGCAAGTCATTGAACTTTTCTGAGCCTCAGAACAGTCCGAGCCTTACTTGTAAAATGAAGTGACTAGGCTAGTTTATCTCTAAGTTTTTCCTCCTAAATCTAAGTCTTCTGATAGTTGACAGGTCAATGCCACCTCTTCCAAGAAGCCATCCCTGAGTGTCTATACCTGAAAGTGATTCTCCCTTCTCTGAACTCCTGTAACACTGAATTTGTACCTAGATCATGGCCTCCTCCCATTCTGCCTTATATCATGTTTATATGTGGAAATAGTCTATATTTCTATATTGAAGCAGGTAGTAAAGGTATTACTAGCCCCACTTTATAACTGAGGAAACTGAGTCTCAGAGATGTCAAATGAATCACCCTTGGTCACACGGCTAAAAAGCATTGAAGTTAGTATCTGAAGTTAGCTCTCTTCTGACTCCAGGTTCAGTTTTCTTTTCACTAAATCATGCTGCCTATTAGCTCCTCAAACTAGCCTGCAAACTGGCAGTATAGTCAGTTTATCTTTGTTTATCCTATAAAACTCCTCTGTTTCTTCATTTTGTCCCCAGAGCAGGTACCTTCTCTCCATTCCCCTCCCCCACCCTTCTGCTTTTCTGTTTCCTTTGGTTTGTTGTGTCCTCATCCCACCCCCCACCCCCACCCCCCATTAAACTGTGAGCTCCTTAAGGACAGGGATTATCTTTTGCTTTTCTTTCTATCCCTAGTGCCTAACACAGTGCCTGCACACAGTAGGTGCTTGCAAAATATTACTTGACTGACTAACCTTCCCTATAGTTGGTGCTCAGTGTTTGTTGCATAAATCAATAAATAAATGAGAAAGGAGGGGCAGCTAGGTGGTGCAGTAAATAGAGCTCTGGCCTTGGAGTCAGGAGGACCTGAATTCAAATCCAGCCACAGACACTTAACACTTATTAGCTGTGTGACCCTGGGCAAGTCACTTAACCCCAATCGCCTCACCAAAAAGCTAAATAAACAAATAACCAAACAAACAAATAAATAAATAAGTAAATGAGGAAGGGAGGGAGGGAGGGAGTGAATTAATGAAAAGCACCATCCTCTCGAAAATCTCCCCCTTCTTAGGTCTCCAGACCCTAACTTCTCCCTCTCCATCTTTGATCCCATAGTGAAGTAGTCAGAAGACCTGAATTTGATTCTGACTGTAATATTTAATGATTGTGTTACCTTAGGCATGTCACTTCTCCTGTCTGAATCTCAATTTCTGTTTCTGTAAAACTAGACTGAAAAAAATCACTCTCCTTAGCTGGCCAAGTCTGCTTCTGCCTGACCTATAACAACTATCCTCAGAGTCATCCAGAAGGCAGCCTCTTTTTCCCCTAAAGCTAGTGTGAAGAAAGTGCTTTGTGAATACTCAGAGTGAGGAACTGTGATTCTCATCATCTCTGATTAGCTTGCTGTCCCCATCCTCTGGCCCTCTGGCTCTCTTGCTACCCAGGGAGGAGCTCTAACTCCAAGTAGAAAGGCACTTCTCCACATGACCATATAAGGAGATGTGGAAGTGACCCATGGTCTGGGAAGGAGGGCATGCCATTGGGGTGGAGTATTGTGTGGGTGGACCAGTCACAGGCCTGCTTTTATTATGAATTGGAGATGATCATAGTAATACACTGCTTTACAATTTATAAAATGCTTTTACTTTTATTTGAAGGCTTAAAGTCCATCCCAATTCTGTGTTTGAAGGCCTGAGATTTTTTCAGTTCTGATCACCTCTGATCTATGGTCTAAATCTCAGGGGTGGCCTCAAGGACACATGTGGCCCTCTAGGTCATCAAGTGTGGCCTTTTGATTAAATATAAAGCTTGGATTTAATCAAAGATCTGCACTTGAGGACCTAGAGGGCTACATGTGGCCTCAAGGCCACAGATTCCCCAACCCTGCTCCCAGCTCTGATATTATGTTCTGAGGTTCAAGGCCTTCTCGTTCTGATCTTCTCTAATGTCTAAAGTCCTTCCTAGCTCTGCTATCCTGTGTTCTAAGATCTATTACAGTCCTTCTCACTTCTGATCACCTCTGTCCCAAGGACTAAGGGCACTCCTGGATCTGATACTCAGTATTCTAAGGACCAAAGCTTTTCTTGGTTCTGATCATCTCTGCTCTAAAGTCTAAGGTTCCTCCCAGGTCAGATATTGTGTTCCAAGATCTAATGGGATCCTTCTCACTTTTGATCATGGCTTCTCTGAAGTCTCTCCCAACTCTGATGTCCTGTGTTCTAAGGTCCCAGCTCTGACGTCCCGTGCTCTAAGGTCCAAGATCCCTTCTATGATTTCATTTAAACCTTTCCACAGATTGCCTGGGGAGGTCATCTGGGTGGGGATTATTATTCTTAATTTCCAGACCAGGTGCCTGAGGTCCGGGGAAGCATTGCTATGTCCCAACAGCAGAACCCACCTGTTCTTCATGACTATACCTATGCTGACCTCATCTCCTCCCATGTTCATAGGGAGCTGAAATTCTCTCAGGGGCAGCCCAGGACCTACCTGGGAATCTCTGACTCTGATCTCACACCATAAACCACCCCTTTCTGTCATTGGCCAGCCCTTGGTGTTCTCATCTTCAAAACAGGGCATGGAGAACCTCTCTCCTCGGAGGCCAATTTCAAATGTCCTGTTGACATGTAGTGCCTAGCTAATGCATCTACCCACTGCCATCTAGGAATGACCTCCCTTTTCAGGTATCCTCAATGCTACAACATCTTCCCTCTTCCCTCCAGATCCCCCCTATCCAGGGTCCCAGTTCTGCTTTCGGCTTTCCACGGGGACAGGGAACCAATCTGATAAAACAAACTGTTGCTCCAAATGTAGGATGTACTTTTGCCTGAGTGTAGCTTAGATAAAACTTGAACTGTGGCCTCTTGTTAGTCTCATTTTAAAATTTCTACACACACACACACACACACACACACACACACACACACACACACATGTTTTCTTTCCAGAGATTCATTTTAAAGTCACAGCCTATTTTCAGACCAATATAACAAATCTATGACCACAATTGTGGTCATAGATAGAACTTCCCACCCAGAACTCTCTCATCCCCCAGGTAACCTATGTTCATTTTATAAGAGGCTTTCCAGATGGCTCTGAGGATAGTTGTTTTTAGTCAGGCAGAAGGGGATGACAATATCCTGGCCAGCTGAAGGGAGTGATACTTTACGCTACGGTGGCCTTGGGATATCCCACAAACCACCAAGCAGGTGCCTGTGGATTTCGTCTTTGTCCAGGACCAGCTCCAGAAGGCACCTGCTGGGGCAGTATCCTGTAATCCAAACCTCCCCTCCCCGTACTCCAGCCTACCTCATTCTGACCAGCTGCTCCTCAGTCCTCTGAAGATTCTTCATGCTCCTAGAATAATATTTGTCCACAAATCAGACAGAAGATAGGTAGGTGCCTTAGCAGAAGAGGAAGTACATATGTAAGTGGAACTGATCAGCTGGGATGTGGGGGAAGTAACCACTTCTGCTTTAGGGACCTTTAAAAATGGTTCCCACCCCCACCCTCTGCTTATGGCCTGTTTGACATCACCAGACACTGGGTAGGAGGAGGGATGGGATTAGTGGGGCACAGTGTGGATGAAGAACTATAAAATTCTTAAGGCTTCTGTCAGGGAACATAGGATTTTTTAAAAACTATTTTTTTAAACATTTGTTTAAATTCTCTCCCTCTCTCCATCCCCTCCCCTTCTCATTGAGAAGGCAAGCAATGTGATATCAATTACATGGGTGAAGTCATGCAAGACATATCTTTGTAATTAGCTGCATTGCAAAAAACAAAAAAGAGGAAAAAGTATATTTCAATCTGTATTCAGAGTTCATGAGTTCTCTGTGTGAAGGTAGATAGCAGTTTTGACCATGAGTCCTTTGAACTGTCTTGGATCATTGCATTGATCAAATGAGTCTTTCACAACTGAACATCATTATAATACTGCTGTTACTGGGTACAATGCTCTGCTAGGCCTGCTCATTTCCCTTTGCATCCAGTTCAACCATCCCCCTCATCATTTCTTATGGCACAATACTATTCCATCACATTCATATACCATGACTTATTTATTCATTCCCCAATTTATGGGCATCCCCTCCATTTCCAATTCTTCGCCACCACTGGAAGAGCTGCTATAAATATTTTTGGACGTTCTTTCCTTTTTTTTTCATCTGTGAGATACAGACCTAGCAGTGGTGTTTATACACAGTTTTATTGTCTCTTGTGCATAGTTCCAAATTGGAACATAGGATTTAGAGTTGGGAAGAGATCACTTAGTCCAACCCCTTCATTTTACAGAGGAAGAAACTGAGGTCCAAAGAGATTAAAAATGGCTTGTCTCAGGTCACCCATATATTAAGTAGGAGGACCAAGATTTGGACCGAGATGCTCTGACACCTAATATGACTATATATACCACTCCGCCTCTCCATATGCCACTGTTCAGGTAGCCTTGAAGCTGGTAGGAGGGGCCCCATCCTCACTCCAGACTCTTAGCCCTGTGGTTGGTCGAGGTAGTGGGGTAGGCATTGTTCCAACCAAATGATCAGGAATGTCCAGAGCAAGGCAAGAGCTTCAAGGTGAGTAAAAGGACTGAAGCCCATGCTGAATGAAAACTGGGAGCAAAAGCCCTGCACCATTTAGCAAGAAGTCAGGCAGCAAGCATTGATTAAGGGCCCACTGTGTTCCATCCACTGAGAAGAGGTTTAGGGGGAATATGACAGCAGTCTTCAAATATCTGAAAGGCTGCCATGGGTGACCCTGTATCATTTGCATCCCCTCTTGAAGCCTAAATTTTTTTATCTGTCAAATGGAGATAATGAAAATTGGCCTAGAAATCTCACAGTTATGAATATTAATACAGAACATAGATGCAAAAGTGCTTTAAAAAGTTAAAGGTACAAGAGAAATATAAAAATTATAGTTGTGAACACTATTATTAATGATAATTTTATTAAATTAATTATTTTCAGTGCCGCTGGTAGCATCTTATGCTCGAAATGTCTCCTCTCAGTAGTTAGTAGTGTTCAGGATGGGACTGATTGTGCCTTAGATAATGAGCTCCCTGTCACTGGAAGTATTCAAGCAGAAGCTATAAGGAATACTGTAAAAGGGATTACAGACTGCTGAGGGCCCTACCAGCTCTGAGCTTCTAGCATTCTATGAGTTGTAGGTTATAACTAATTCTTATTATGCTTTGAGGTTTTCAAAAATTATTTTCAACTACCAAAATGCTTTATTGATTCTCTTTTTTCATATCTGCTTTAAAGTTTAGAAAGCACTTTCCTCCCAGCAATCCTGTGAAGTAAGAGGTATAGGTATTATTGTCACTTTTTAAAGTATTATTGTCTGATGGTCTCCCATTGGAAAACTAATGTCCACGATCACATAGATAATTAGAGGGGTGAGGGGGAGGTGCAGTGGAGCTGAAACCAAACCCCACAACCTACATCTACTATACCACACTCTGCCTACTCCTAGGGTCTATGATTCTGAGGGTCAAAGGTTTCAAGATTGCCTTGTTCTAAGATTCTATGATTCTAACATTCTATGTAATTATGAAATTCCAAGATTTGATGATTCTAAGAGATATGGCAAAGGCACTTGTCAGCTGAGAATGAAAATGTGTTTGTCAAATATTATGGAGAAGGATGATAGATGATTATAACTAGTATCCCCTTATAAAACAGCAAGAAGTAGTAGAGGGAAGAACAAATTTACAGAAAGGTTAGTGAGAAAGCCAGCCAATCAAAAACGTCACAAGTGAATTTAAGGATGAAACAGGTTGGAAGACACCAAACAAATGAAAAGCGGAAAAGATCTGTAAAGATGTCTATGTCTTTTCTCCATCATTTGCAGTGGAGCCACCACATTTGGACTCAGATACCACAATGCCTGATGTACTGCATAAAAAAGTAGAAATAAGATAAAAATATATAAAAATGAGAAGAGCAGCTTGACAAGATCAAGTATACCCAGAGGAGGTTTGCACTGGAATTTACACAATTACGAAGGCATTGAAGGAATCAGTTACCAAGGTCTCTAAAAGAGCAGAGAACTGGAAAACAACCTAAGACATTATTAACAAAAAAGTGACATGAATATTCCTAAAAATTTTTATAATAACAATAACAGAGCAATAACAGAGAAAATTATGTTCAATAAACCTATGATTATTAATATCAAGTAAATCATAAAATAGAGATAGGTACGCTTGCCTAAGGAATTTGCCACCTTTGTGGAAAGGCCACAGGGTGAATGAGACTTACCCCAGGTTGTCAGCATATTTACAGCAATTATAAAGTGCTTCTCCATAAGTCATGGAATCTCAGTGTTTAACAAATTGAAGTTGAGGGTCATCCAAAGGATAACAGGAAGGTGAATTATGTGCACCAGTAGACTTAGGACAGTATGTTAGGAGCGAAGATCCTCTCAGTGTCATCAGAGAGATGTGACTGGAAAAGGAGGTGGGTTGGGAAGGCCAAAAGAATTCCCGATGATCTGTTCACCACTTGTCCTAAGTAAGATAACACTTATTCCTAATGAAAATGTCCATATCTCTACAAGACCTCCAAAGAAGGATATTGAGGCTAAGAATTCTAGGATGCCCTCCCCTTCCTTTTTGAGGACAGAAGGGTAGCCATCCCCTTCATTTATAGATTGAGCTGGTTTAGGACCTGAGAACCCTTGAGATTGTTCACTGCCTTCTGAATCATCAAATGAGGACTAAATTTGATGAGGCAAAGGTTCAGTGTTGAATGTGTGGAGCCAAGGAGAGTTTTAATAAACTCCCTGAGTACTCATCTGTATCTTGGTTTGAAAGGGAAGTTATGATTGTTGACCTGTGAGGATGATGTCAGAGGAACACAACCTGGCCCTTTCACAGCCCATACCTTCTCTTGTGGGCCTCCTGACCCTCCTCATCCCCTAGACCTCTGGTCTAGAGTTGCTGTGGGGATGAGACTGATTGGGCAATTGCAACATCTTAAAATAATAAATCAAATTCCACTTGGGGCAAAAGAAACTTCTCCAGAAATAGGATCTTGGGCTTAAGAGCTAGGAGGGACATTAGAGTACAGCCATGCATAGAGCATGGAGGAAGAGGAAGGGCCAGTGGTGATATCTGCCTGGAGGGGTGCTAGCCCCTGCTCCAGCCACCCCAGTCTTATAGTAGGCTATGCCTCAGAGATCAGTTCATTTAACATGCTGTGAACAAGACTCATCTTCCTTTAGAGCCAGAGTTCTTAATCTGGGGTCCATGACCTTGGTGTTGTTTCATTTTTTTGATATTTTGGTAACTATTTCAATATTTGGTTTCCTATGTAGTTTACTTTATACATTTAAAAAATATTCTTCTGAGAAAGGGTCTGTAGGCTTCACCAGACTGCCAAATGGATCCATAACACACACAAAAATGATTGAGAACCCCTGCCTAGGAGTTTTACAGCTTATGAAGCACTTTCTTCCCATCATTTCTTGTGGCAGTTAAGTATTGCAATTGCAGGCCTGCACAACATACTGCCCTCGGGCCCCTCACGGCCCGCCAAAGTGGCCCACAGGCGGTATGTTGTGCAGACCTGTTTTATATTCTCTACATTTTTCACTGGCCGCCTGAAATCCTTTCACCATAAGTGGCCCATGGGCCGAATGTTGTGTAGGCCTACAATAGATAGAACACCAGACCTGGAGTCAGGAAGACCTGAGTTCAGGGGCAGCTAGGTGGTGCAGTGGATAGAGCACCGGCCCTCAAGTCAGGAGACCTGAGTTCAAATTCGGCCTCAGACCAAACACTTGACACATTACTAGCTGTGTGACCCTGGGCAAGTCACTTAACCCAATTGCCTAAAAGCAAAAAAAAAAAAAAGACCTGAGTTCAAATCTGACATCAGACCTTTGTCTGCCTCCATTTCCTCATCTGTAAAATGGGAATAGTAATAGCATCTACATCCCAGGGTTGTGGTGAGCACATAGTGAGATAAGATTTGTGAAGTATTTTGCTAACATTAAAGCACCTTATAAATGCTAGCTATTGTTATCATCATTATCATTATTCCTTCACAGTAGTCCGGAGAGCACAAGTATGATTAGTCCCATTTTACCGAGGAACAAACCAAGGTCCCCTGAGGTGGATTGACTTGTGAAGGGAAAAGGAAGTATGGTGTAATGAGAACACTGGGCTTAGAGTCAGAAGACTTTCACTTTCCAAATCTGTAAAAACGAAAGAGTTGGAGGATGTTATCTCTCTAAGCATTATTATGACTATGATTATGACTATTCCCACTTAACAGAGGAGGTAACTGAAGCATGGAAAAGTGAAGAGAGAGCAGGCTGTAGAGACTGGAGCATTAAACTTGGAGTCAGGAAGACCTGGGTTCAGCTCCTTCCTACACTTGCTGTGTGATCATGGGCAAGTCACAACTCTCAGGCCTCCTTAAAACAAAGAGATTGGAAGCCAAG